TCCCTGCTCATTATGTCGTAAATATGAAAATTTTGAAATGAAATAATATATTTAATAATCCATTCATTTAGAGATGCAAGGTATTGATCCCCCTTCTACCCACACAAGAAGCGAGCACTCTACCATTTGATCTACATCCGCACAACTTTTATATCAGAAAATCCTAAACGTCCCGTCATCAATAATTGTGTAAATGAAAAAATATCTCGGCTCATTATGTCATAAATAAGGAAAGATTGAATGGAAATAAAATATTAATAACAAATATTTTCTTTTGGAGATGCAAGGTATAGATCCCCGTATCTTTCCATCTGGGATAAATACCCACAATTCTTGAATCACAAAACTCTAAATTTTCCGTCATCAATAATAGTAAAAATGAAGAAATATCGCTACTCAACATGTCATGAATATGGGAAAATTGAAAGTAAAAAATATATTTAATAATAGATAGTTTTATTTTGGAGGTGCAAGGCATAGATCCCCATACCTCTTGCATACAAAACGAGTACTTTACCATCTTAGCTACATCCCCCAATTCATATTTTACAAAACCCTAAATATCTCGTCATCAAGAACAGTGAAAATGAAAACTATCTCTGCTCATTATGTAGTAAATATGAAAAATTTGAAAAGAAATAATTATTTGGTAATCGATTCATTTGGAGAAGCAAGGTATCGATCCCGTACTTCCCACATGGGAAGCTCTACCATCTAAGCTACATCCCCATGGTTCTTACATCATAAAACCCTAAATGTCCCGTCATCAATGATTGTGTGTTCCGTAATCAATAATTGTGAAAATGAAAAAAAATATCTCCGCTCATTATGTCATAAATAAGGAAAGATTTAACATAAATAAAATATTAATAAAAAATAGTTCCAAATAATAGTTCCTTTTGGAGATGTGCTCTAAGCTACATCCCCACAATACTTGCACCATAAAATCCTAAATTTTTCGTCATCAATAATAATGAAAAATGAAGAAGTTTTATTTTGGAGATGCAAGGTATTGATCCCCATATCTCTCGCATGCAAAGCAAGCGCTCTACCATCTGAGCTACATCCCCACAATTCTCATGTCACAAAACCCTACACATTTCGTCAACAATAATAGGTCCAAAATGGGAATCCAAAATGGGAGAAAATTAGGTATAACTTATGAATCATTTCGACATAGATATTATATTAATCCAATTATTATTTATTTTAAGCTTATCAATTCACATTGTATGTATTTAACTTGTGCCATTTTATCTCCCTTGAAGGGGGCATTTTAAGAATCGAACTCGAGACCTTTCACACCTAAAGCGAGAATCATACCACTAGACAAAATGCCCTTTTTATGCCACTTAAAATGTATGTATGAATCCTTGGGCCTAGGTATTAAGGTCGTATTTTGTCGTATTGTAGGAAACACATGAAGTCCTCGATGCGCTTGAACTGAAGCCTTGGATGTAGAATGTGTTTTGGAGAACAAAACAAGAACATAATAAGAACAAAGAGCTTTCTACTAGACCTACTTAAGAAGGCATACTTACCGAAAGTGAGAAACATGAAATGAGATTAAGAGCATTATCATTATAGTTTTAATTGCCTTAATTTTTGTTTTTCTTCCTTTTTAAGCCTTGGGATGTAAAGAAAGACTTTAGGTTGCTGTTGAATGGCTGCCAACATGCTTAAGTTTTGATATCTCTTATCTAATTACTTTATGTCGACTTTGTTGCCCAACAATTGGTGTAGAGAAGTTAAGAGGTATGTTTGAAAAGTAAATAATAGGAACAACAAGTTTATATAAATATGAAGTCCTTCAATAAGAAAAAATTTAGACATAGGGGCATTTGAGGTTGCATCCTAAGTGAGGTTTACCACTAAACCAAATGTCTTTTCTTAAATACCCAATATTTTTAGCTTTACTCAAATATATTTTTCTTTGAGTGGTTGGACGGCTATAAAATGACAAGTTGATGGTCTAATATTTTACTTGTAAGTGAGGCACGTTGTATTGAATTGTTATAATATACAAGGGTTATCAAATAAACAAACAACCCAACAAAGGAAACAAACTAATCAATTTGGGTTGGATTGATTCCGTTCAGTTCATCAGTTTGTTTAATTTAATTCTTCTATTTTGCCTCGAATGACAACAAAATAAAGTTGTATTGAATGAACCTTAGTTTTATTTATGACAAACTCATATGAAACATAATTGCACTAATATTACTCAGAGTAGGAGTCTATAAGTATTTCCGAACCTTAGGATTGGCTAATTGGACACGAGTTCATTGATTTAGGGAAATTTTTGTGTAATTATTAACTACAACTTAAGTTTTCAAATTTTTAGGTCATAATTTAGGTAGTTGGTGTTATGAGTCTTTAACTTGTTTCTTTGAATAATATAGATTTAGTTGAACTGGTATTACCGATAAGATGGAGAAAGAAATTGTCTTTGAAATGACTAATAGACCTAGGTTCATCGTTGTTGTCTTTTAACTGTGATTTTACAAAAAGCTTAACAAATATAAATTATCATGCCACGAGAACTTTAAGGAAAATCGAGAATATACCCTACACATCATTCAAGATGGCAACAAAATGGAGTTAAATTGTGTTGGGTTTTATGTCCTAAAACTCATAGTTTGTAAACAAAAACATATTCTATTTCAATAAAGTTATTATTGTTGTTTATTCAGTAAAAATTGTTTTTGAATAAAGTGAACTTTACGATCATTAATCTAAATCAAATAAACTAAGAATACTCTGGTTATAGTATGATTACTTGAACTATATGTAGAGACATAAGAGTTGATCAAGTTCAAGTATATAGTCAAAATGATCTATAGTATAAGGATAAGACTGAGTATCTTATTCTGGGGACACTATGGATGCAACCCACTTTTGTATATAACATAAACAATGTGATCACTAAAATTGTACATGTGAAGACATGTGAGTGGGGGTGTCCTATGCAATATGTATTGCATAAGATCGGACCATGAAGAAAATCACTCTCACTTTATAATGTCGTTTACTGTTGAGACTGATTTTCTATTCATTCGATGACCTAAGTAACTCAATCTTAATCCTGAGCTAACCACGAACTCCTGTTTATTCGGAATTAACCTTAGATTTGCATGGATGAGAGTGACTCAAGTTCGCCGACTCAATAGGTCTCCCATTTCAGGGGTAAGACTGGGTAAATGGCTAGGGACATGGGGTGCAAGATGGAATTCACTTCTACCCACTTTTAAGGATAGAAGAGAGGTAGTTCCCTTAAGTACTGACTTCAGGTGTTGAACAAGGGGCCCCACCATCTCATTGGCCTGAGAAGGATTTGGTTTACTAGTTGGAGCATAAACCAATTGTTCATTAGAGGATTAGTGAGACATAAGAAACAAGAAGTAACTTCAGGGGTAAAACGGTAAATTGACCCAGCTCTAGTTACGAACAACCTGTGAAGGATCGACTTAATAATCATGGTTATATCAAATGGACATAAATATATCTATAGTGAGGGGAGTGCAACTACTAGGCTATAGTGGAATGTCCTAGTAGTTAACGAATGTTGGTTAACAAGGTTAATGAGTTTAACTAGTTAATCTTGGATCGTTAGAGCCCATGATCTATAAGTCCATTAGATCCCTCTGCTAGCTCATATCAGACTAAACTATAGAACAGTGTGACGAGTGAGTTCGAAGTGTTCGAATTCAAATTAGGGAGAATGTACTACATATATATGATATATTTAACCGCATTTTTGTTTTATTACGAATTAAACAAAAACAGAGAATCTGAGATATTTAAATAAGATTTAAATATCTCAATCAAATATGTGTCGGAATTAATTGAGATTGGTATTTTAATTAATATTAAATGATTAATTCAAATTGATTGTTGAATCAAAATGAAGAAAGTCAAAATGTTACTTACTTGTCAAATAAACCCCACAAATTTGAGTGAAATTTTAAGTGTCAAAATCTGGTTAACTCAAGCATGCATGCTTGCCACATAATCCCAAACATTGCATGCTTGCCACATAATCCCAAACATTTGAGTGGAATTTTGAATGTCAAAATTTGGTGATCTCAAATTTGCATGAACATGCCAACATGACTCTATAAATAGAGTGATCATAAAATATGAAAGGTCTTCTTCTTGGTGAAAAACCTTGAGAAAAACCTCTCACAAACACTCTTTTCATATATACAAAATCCCTCCCAAGTTTAGTCACTCACCGGATTCTACAATCCTATTCTAAGGCCGGAGGATAGTGTAGAAGACACTAGTGGTTCTTCGAAATCGGTTCGTGAGGAAAAAAGAATTTGAACTACAAAAGGTTAGTATTCAAACTCATTAAATTTTAATACTTATGAACATGCTAGTTATTTACTATAATTGTTGTTCTAAAAGTGCCCAAGATCCAAATTGCTCCCGCATGTTATATATTAACACCATCAAATTGAGCCCATTTTAGTTTCATGTTTGGCATGTTCAAGATAAAGTATAATTGTATTTATAATATTTAGTTTCATGTCTGGCTTAAGAGTTGCGTGCCTGCTCATTTTATCCATGTTCTCCACTTCCTCCCATTTCCTCCTCATCCTCCATCACATTCTTTATTTCTCTTCCCATTTCTCAATCTCCAACTCATCCTTTCTTTATCCCTAACCAATGCAGATTTGAATAAAGAAGGAGAAAAAGAAAGAGAGTGAAGGAAGTCAGTATAGATTTTACTTTGGTACTAGACATCGATGAGTATGATCTAACGAACATCAATACAAAATATTTAGTGACTTCTCTTTGGACCAACCAGGTAAGTGGTGTTACTATTGGCTTGGTTCGATGAATTGTACGAGGTATTAACAACGTGTGCTCCATAGCCCCTCCACATGTCGTACTTTGTGAGTGTTTGACATGTATTAATTTTCTTAGTAAGTTACATGCCTAATAGTAATGGAGTCTAACATGACGATCATTCAAACAAACATCCACCAACCAAGAGGGGTGAAAATGATGACAATAGTACAATTGAGAAAAAATCTTAGCTATGATGAATCTACATTTGCTGTCATTGTTGTATTTGAAAAGGGGAGCTCGAGTGAACCAACCCACTACATGAACACCACGATGCAAAACAAGAAGGTCAGATAATGGGTTTATTCTCCCCCGGAGAGATAAATCACAAGATTAGTTTTAAATTTGGATAGGTCTGTCAATTGAAAGTGAGAAACACAAAATGATATTAAGACAAACATTCTCTTCCGAGAGGAGTGAATTGGGTCAATCTTGGTTATCAAACTCGAGACCTCTTGCACCCAAAGCAAGAATCATACCACTAAATCAAATGCCCTTATTCTTTTGTTATTATATCTTATAGATCAGACAGCTGTAAGAGTTTGATTAATTCTGAAATTATTTTCAGGGTTTATTGAATGTAGGATCGTTATTTCATTTATTTTCTTTTGTTATTATATCTTTTAGATCTCGACAGCGGCAAGAGTTTGATTAATTCTGAACTTTATATTATGTTGTTTATTGAATGTATCATCGTTATTTCATTTATTTCCTTTTGTTATTATATCTTTTAGATCTAGACAGTGGCAAGAGTTTGATTAATTCTGAAATTATTTACAGGGTTTATTAAATGTATTATCGTTATTTCATTTATTTTCTTTTGTTATTATATCTTTTAGATCTAGACAGCTACAAGAGTTTGATTAATTATGAACTTTATATTAAGTTGTTTATTGAATGTATCATCGTTATTTCATTTTTTTTTTTTTTTTTGTTATTATATCTTTTAGATCTAGATAGCTTCAAGAGTTTGATTAATTCTGAACTTTATATTAAGTGTTTTATTGAATGTATCATCGTTATTTCATTTATTTTCTTTTGTTATAATATCTTTTAGATCTAGACATCTTTGATTAATCTTGAACTTTATATTAAGTTGTTTATTGAATGTATCATCGTTATTTCTATTTCATTTATTTTATTTTGTTATTATATTTTTTAGATCTAGACAGCTGCAAGAGTTTGATTAATTTTGAATTTTATATTAAGTTATTTATTGAATATATCATCGTTATTTCATTTATTTGAATTTATTTATAGGGTTTATTGAATGTATCATCGTTATTTTATTTATTTGAAATTATTTACAAGGTTTATTGAATGTATCATCGTTCGTTATTTTTTTTATTTGAAATTATTTACAGGGTTTATTGAATGTATCATCGTTATTTCATTTATTTTCTTTTATTGTTATATCTTTTAGATCTAGACAGCTACAATGTTTATTGAATCTATCATCGTTATTTCATTTATTCATTTTTATTGAATGTATCATCGTTCGTTATTCCATTTATTTGAAATTATTTACAGGGTTTATTGAATCGTTTGTTATTTCATTTATTTGAAATTATTTATAGGGCTTATTGAATGTATCATCGTTAGTTATTTCATTTATTTGAAATTATTTACAGGGTTTATTGAATTTGAAATAATTTGAAATTATTTACTGGGTTTATTTCATTGATTTAAAAAATTATTTACAGGATTTATTGAATTTGAAAAATTATTTCTTACCGGGTTTATTTGAAAAATTATTTACATGGTTTATTGAATTTAAAATTATTTACAGAGTTTATTAAATGTATCATCATCGTTATTTCATTTATTTTCTTTTATTTTTATATATTTTAGATCTAGACAGCTACAATGTTTATTGAATGTATCATCGTTTGTTATTCCATTTATTTGAAATTATTTACAGGGTTTATTGAATCGTTTGTTATTTCATTTATTTGAAATTATTTATAGGGCTTATTGAATGTATCATCGTTATTTCATTTATTTGAAATTATTTACAGGGTTTATTTCATTTATTTAAAAAATTATTTACAGGATTATTGAATTTGAAAAATTATTTTTACCGGGTTTATTTGAAAATCATCGTTATTTCATTTATTTTCTTTTATTTTTATATATTTTAGATCTAGACAACTACAATGTTTATTGAATGTATCATCGTTATTTCATTTCATCTATTTTCTTTTATTGTTATATCTCATATCTTTTAGATCTAGAGAGCTAGAATGTTATTGAATGTATCATCGTTATTTCATTTTATTTACAAGGTTTATTGATTTCATTTTATTTATCGGGTTTAATGTTTATTTCATTTTATTTACAGGGTGTTTATTTCATTTGTTTGAAAAATTATATAGCTACAATGTTTATTGAATGTATCATCGTATTTCATTTTATTTATAGGGTTTATTGAATGTATCATCATAGTTATTTCATTTATTTTCTTTTATTATTATATCGTTTAGATCTAGACAGGTACAAGAGTTTGATTACTAAAAAGAAGATATCATTTTCAAGAATTGAACTCACAATCTCTCGCACCCTAAGCGAGAATCATACAACTAGACCAAATGCCTTAAGTAGAAAACACAACATTTTTAGCTCCTACTCAATATGAATCAAAACTATTTTACTTATTTGTAAGGCATGTAATATTGAATGTTCAAATATATAAGAGTTATCAAATAAAACAACGACCCAACAAAGGAAACAAACTAATCAGTTTGGTTAGATTGATTTGGTTCAGTTCATCAGCTTGATTGATTTAGTTCTTCTATTTTGCCTCGTATGGCGAGAAATAAAGTTGTATTGAATGCATCTGAGTTTCATTTATGACAAACTCATAGAAATATAATTAGATTAATAGCACTCAGAGTTGGAGTCTATAAGCATTTCATGAACTTAAGTACAACTCATGCTTCATTAAAGACGAGATAAAATTTAGTTAAGTAACTGGAACTTTAAATTACTTCATGTGGAGCTTTAATTGCTCTATGCTAGTTACAATCTTTAGGATTGACTAGTTGGACACGAGTTCTTGGATTTAGGGGATTGTATTATGTAATTTTCAACTACAACTTATGTTTTCAAATTTTTAGGTCATAATACAGGTAGTAGGTGTTATATTATGGATGAACACTAGAGTTTCTATCCAGTTCACCACAACTACTCTAGTATTTATTTGAAGGCTATAATTGTCATTTATGTTGTATCGCAATAAGATTTGTTTTGATGAAATTTTAGTTTAAGTTGCATATTTTACTTCTTAGGAGTAAAAAATTTGATTATTTGTATAATATGAATTTAGTTAGAGAGTTATTATGGATAAATGGAGAAAAAACTTATTTAAAATAATAAAAAGACCCAAGCTCATCGTTGTTGTTGTCGTCTACTTGTGATTTTGCAAAACGCTTAACTAATATGAAATATCAAGGTAAATCAAGAATATATCCTACACATCATTCAAGATGACAATAAAATGGAGTTCAATTGAATGCACTTTTAGTTTCTTGTTTGAAAGGTTCAAGATGAAGCATAATTGTATTAATGATATTAAAGAGAAATTCATGTTTTATTAGAAGAGATCAACTTCATTTAAGGTACTAGGAGTTTAAACTAGTTCCATTGTAATTTCAATCACTCTACCAAGATTACAAATTTAGGGTTGGCTAATTGGACATCAATTCTCTAACTTTTGGTTATAATATTAATGAGCATAAGAGTTACAATTCTTTCATGGACCATATGTGTTATAGTTAAAAGAATATATATATATATATTATGTATGTTAAGGTCTGGATAAAGCACAAAGTAGCAAGGAAAACCATTGTCGACTCTAGAACCACCCACGACTCATGATCGAGACCAATGTAAAATATTTTAACATCCTTTGGCATCGAGATACAGGAAAGATGAATGCCGTGAAATTGGAAGCTTTACTTGTCTTAAGAGTCACAATGAGAACTATAATCAAGCTGGAGCCTTGAACTAGGCAAATCATTTTTTGATAGTTGAAATGGATGACTTTGACGTCGTGTTAGGGATGAACGTCCTACTGAAACACAAAGTCATTTACATGTCCTTAGCAAAATGCCTAGTAGTAACAGAGTCTAATCTGACGATCATTCAGAAAAACAACCATCAACCAAGAGGGGTGAAAATGAGGTCGAGAGTACAGTTGAGAAAGAATCTTAGCCATGATGAATCTACGCTTGCTGGATTTCGTTCGACGATCATTGTATTGAAACTCGAATAATGGATTGTGAGATTAGAATATTGTCAAACTTGTTTATGATATCCTTATTGCCGAAAATTCCTTGTTTGCCATAAATCGAACTCTATTGTTGTAATTAAAAAGGGAAGCTCGAGTGAGCCAACCTCAACAGAAACCTTGTTGCCACTATATGTGTTAGGTTATGGAGCCTGCTGCTTATTTATAGCTGAGTCAACGGTCATACATAGTAAAACTATATTTGGTAAATGACATATAAAGTTTATTGTCATAAATAGTAAATAGCTATGTATAGTAAAAAGCTATATCGGGTAAAGCTATATATGGTAAATAGTTATATATAGTAGATGGTTATATCTGGTAAAGCTAAATATAGTAAGCTAAACCATATATATATCCCCTTGGGCCGAGTTTTGAAAATGTACTTTTTATATTATCTGTATTCTCTCTTATTATACATACTTGAAGTCATCAATATAAATCCTTTAGCAAGAGTTCTCCTTGCATTTTCTCTATCTGTTCTTTTGTGTTCATCTAGATCGAATGTGTGCGTTGTTGTGCGATCCTAACAACTGGTATCAAAGCCAGGTTGAAGTCACCACGATATGTGAAGATGAAAAGTTCAAAGATTGGAATTGAGAAGTTCGATGGATCCGATTTCAGTTTCTAGAAGATGTAGATTGAAGATTATCTGTACTAGAAAGATGTTCACGAACCCTTGTTGGGAGTGATGCCAGATACCATGACCACGGAGCAGTGGAAACTCAAGGATCGAAAAGCCTTAGGGATGATCTAGTTGATGCTATCCAGAAACGTAGCGTTTAACATCATCTAGGAGAAGACAACGTCAGATCTGATGAAGGCGCTGTCGAATATGTACGAAAAATCGTCAGCTATGAACAAGGTGTATTTGATGTGGAGATTGTTCAATCTACAGATGTCTAAAGGTGGATCTGTTGTGGATCATATAAATGAATTCAATATGATCGTAAGTCAACTGAGTTTGGTGAAAATTAATTTCGAAGATGAAATTAAAGCATTGATTTTGATGTCATCTTTACCCATGTCGTGGGATACTGTTGTTGCCGCAATCTGCAGTTCCTGAGGATTTGATAAACTGAAGTTTGATGAAATTCGAGATGTAGTTCTTAGCGAAAGTACTTGCAAACAAGAAATTGGAAATTCATCTAGTAGTGCTCTCAGTGTTGACCAACGGGGAAGAAGTAAATCGAAGAGCCCAAACAAAGGGCGATCAAAATAAAAGAACCGAGAAAAATCTCCAAATAGACTAAATGTAACGTGTTGGAATTGTGGAGAAAAAGGTTACTTACGAACAGGTTGTATAGGACCAAAGAGAAAGCAGAATCACAAATCTGGAGATGATGATGATTCTATAAATTCAGCCGAAGACATTGGGGATGCTCTAATCCTCGCGTGGACAGTTCGATTGAATCCTGGGTTTTTGATTAAAGTGCATCTTTTCATTCGTCTCCAAATAAAGAGTTGTTCCTGAATTTCAAGTCTGGAAATTTCGAGAAGGTGTATCTTGCCGACAATAAAGATTTGGAGATTAAAGGAAAAGGAGATGTCTACATAAAAACTCCGGCATGAAATCAGTGGACATTATAGGATGTCAGATATATTCCTGGTCTTAAAAAGAACCTAATCTCTATTGGTTAGTTGGACAACACAAGTTATGCAACAAAGTTAGGAAAGAGTTCGTGGAAGATTATGAAGGGTGCTACGGTGGTAGCACGTGGCTCAAAATCTAGAACCTTATACACCACTGCAGGGTGTATGAACATAGCTGTTGTTGCTTAGAGTTCTTCAAATTCAAGCCTATGGCACAATAGACTTGGACATATGAGCGTGAAAGGAATGAAGACACTGGCTGTGAAAGAAGTTTTAGAAGGTCAGAAATCTGTTGATGTGGGTCATTGTGAGAACTACGTTAAGAGCAAACAAAAATGAGTTAGCTTCACAATGGCTGCTAGAGAATTGAAGAAAGTGCGGTTGGAAATGGAACTAGATGTGGAGCAAGGTTCCAAGACCACGAAGCAAGTGGGAGTTGAGCTTGAAATGCAGGGAAACTCACCTAGTGATGTTGTAGCAGATACTCAAGAAACTCCTAAGACTACTACTGAGGAACCAGATGTGGAGCAAGGTTCCAAGACAACAAAGCAAGTGGGAGTTGAGGTTGAGTTACGGGGAAAATCACCTAGTGATCTTGTAGCATATACTCAACAAACTCCTGAGGTTGTTGCGGAGGAATCAACAGTGGAGCAAGTGACACCTGAACCGGTGTTGAGAAGATCATCCAGTACTATCAGAGTACCAGATATTTATGTACCTTCATTACACTATCTGTTGCTGATGAAAGGGAACCACAACCCTTTGAGGAGGCCCTACAGTTGGAGGATACAACCAAGTGGGAGCAAGCCATGGATGATGGGACGTCTAGGCTTAAAAAATGCGTTGTACTGAGGCTGAGTACGTGGCAATAGCTGAAGCTGGAAAGAAGATGATATGAATGACTGACTATCTGGAAGAATTGGGCAAGAAGCAGCACGAAGAGATTCTTTATAGAGATAGTCAGAGTGTCATACAGTTGGTGAGGAACCCGGTCTATCATTTAAAAATAAAACACGAAAGGCGATACCATTTTACTTGCAGGTTAGTGGAAGATGGTGATGTGTTTTAAGAAAACAGAGGGTATAAAGAATCCAGCAAACATGTTGACAAAATGTGTTGATGTTGGAATAATAAGGTTGTGCAAAACCTCAATTGGTATGGTGCAGTGAAGATATTGATGATAGTTTGAGAATTTAATTCTTGGTTGACTGGATTAGTCTCCAAGTCGGAGAATTGTTAGATTATAGAGCCTGCTGCTTATTTATAGCTGAGTCAACGGTTATAATATAAAATAAAGCAATATTTGGTAAATGACATATAAAATAAATTGTCATAAATAGTAAATAGCAATGTATAGTAAAAAGCTATATCGGGTAAAGCTATATATGGTAAATAGTTATATATAGTAGATGGTTATATCTGGTAAAGCTAAATATAGTAAGCTAAACCATATATATGAAAATGTATTCTCTGTATTCTCTCTTACTGTACATACGTGAAGTCATCAATATAAATTCTTTAGCCAGAGTTCTCCTTGCATTTTCTATATCCTGTTCTTTGGTGTTCATCTAGATCGAGTCTGTGCGTTGTGCGATCCTAACAACATGAACACAACGACGCAAAACAAAAAGGTCAGATAATGGATTTATCCCCACCAGGAGAGATAAATCACAATATTAGTTTTATGTTGCAGTCGAGATCGCCTACCACAAACAAATGTCATGTGGCTGAGCCTGAGCTAGCTAAATTCTATGAAAAGCTAAATGACTTGTTAACAGTTGAGTTTATTGGACCTGCAAAGGCTCTTGTCAGTGATCACTCAAATGTTGGGTAAAGACACCAAGCCAACGCCTCTATTGGAGAAGGAAGATAAAAACAAGCCACTAAAGCAACACATGTTGACACAGAAATACCAGATGGATGAAGAGAAGGGTCAGTCGGAAGCGTCAACAATAATAATTCAAGAAATATAGAGAGTTCATATTAGTTAACGTCAGACCAACTTCGAGTTCAAAGCAACAAGAACCAAAGACTGGTGCGAAAATACTATGGACTAGTCGAAGTTATCCACAAGATTATGAAGACATCATATAGGATCCAATTGCTCTTATGGATGCGGACTAACCTTGTTGTCCACATCAGTAACTTGAAACGTTATTATTCTGACATAGAAAAACATCAAGCAGAAGCAAGTGGTATGACGTCATGCAAAGAAGAAAAAATTTCATGCGAAGAAAGTAGGAAAGATAGCAACAGAGAAGACATGAAGAGTCAATGAACCGAAAAGTGATTTTCAACAGCTCCTAGTAGATTGGAAGAGACTCCTCATGCTGAGATTAGTTGGAAGCGCATCGAGAGACCTAAAATCAGCCTTATCCTACAATGTTGAGTTTATGAAGAATTGATTGATAGAGATATCAATAAATTGTGTGGGGACAGATTTCACGGTCACGATTGCCCAAGACGTGTTGTCTATGGCTGCATGTTGCATGTCTCAGCCATTTTTGTAAATAATTTGTTGTCCAAGGCGACATGCTCATTCCAAACCCCTTTTACGTGCTTTCATGTTAGATAGGTCTTTACTATTATGGTTGTGCCACTAGGGGTGTATGACTAGTCATCAAAATCATATTTATACCCACCCGACTAAAATTTCCCAAAATGTATTATAGGAGAATGTTACTAGTTGTCAATTCTTCCTACTCGGGTTATATGCTATCAAATTCATTGTTGTTGCATATTTGCTTTTAGTTTCTAATATTGTTTTATTTGATATTATTTTTAATGTACTTCCTTGCTCAAGTTTTCTAAAAAATTTCTTCGAAACGTGATTCGAGCATACACGGCTATTGTCCATGCAGTCTGAATTTTGGCTGGATCTTCTGACTATTTACTGGTTTGGAGCATGAGTGTAGGTGAAATTCCTTTTTTTTCCCAACATCCATGTGAATTATTTCTTTATTCAGTTTGATATAATTGTTAGGGGCACATTTCGAGAATCAAACTCAAGACCTCTCGCACCCAAAGCGAGAATCATACCACTAGACCAAAAGCCATGTGGTGGATGTTTTAACTATTTATGTGAGTTGGGCTTGGAACATGCGTGTAGGTTGAAAATGAAATGGTTGGATGTATACTGTGAATGAGGGTTGGGCCACGGATGGTTTGTTCTTTACCACAAATGGACTTTAGGCTAGTGAGTCTCAAATTTTAGTTCAAACGGGCCCAAAATTGAACTTACTAGTTCCTTGTTCCTTATACGACTCACTAAAAATTTTGGTGCCCTTCTCATTCCTATTCTCTGTTCAACCTCTTCTCACTCTCTGAAACTTCTTTAAATGTTATTGTTCACCGGTTATTTGGGCGCATCTTTCTTAAAGGGATTGTGACGACACATGACCTAGGTAAAACTACTATTAGGAGATCAGTGCAATAGAGAATCTGTGCCCCTTAACATAACAAAGAGTTCCTAGAAAAAAATATCGTAGAACAATTTGTGTGGGTCGAGGGTGTAATGCCTTTGAAGTTAGGTTATACGGGCACATCTTCCTTAAAGGGATTGTGACAACACATGACCTAGGTAAAACTACTATTAGGAGATCAGTGCAATAGAGAATCTTTGCCCCTTAACATAACAAAGTGTTCCTAAAAGGATTGTGATGACACATGACCTAGGTAAAACTACTATTAGGAGATAAGTGCAATAGAGAATCTTTGCCCCTTAACATAACAAAGTGTTCCTAAAAAGATTGTGATGACACATGACCTAGGTAAAACTACTATTAGGAGATAAGTGCAATAGAGAATCTGTGCTTAACATAACAAAGAGTTTCTAGAAAAAAATATCATAGAACAATTTGTGTGGGTCGAGGGTGTAATGCCTTTGAAGTTAGGGTCAAGGGTGTAATGCCTTTCAAGTTAGGGTCGAGACTCTATCGAAATTCTACAATAGAAAATAAATGGTACTATCATCATCTTGTTACTAGCTTTGCTATCTTCAATTAACATGTTATAAAGACATATAATCATACCACTAGATTAAATGCCCTTGTAGTGAATCTATCATTTTTAGTCGCTAGTCCATATGTTTTATGCGCCTCTATATTTAAAATTTATCCACATGTTTTTGTGCTTTAGAACCTAAGGCTCTATCAAAATTCTGCAATAGAAAATAAATGGTATTATAAAATTTATCCACATGTTTTTGTGCTTTAGAACCTAAGGCTCTATCGAAATTCTGCAATATTATTCTGCAATAGAAAATAAATGGTACTATCATCATCTTGTTACCAGCTTTGCTCTCTTCAATTAACATGTTATAAAGATAAAATTTATCCACATGTTTTTGTGCTTTAGAACCTAAGGTTCTATCAAAATTCTGCAATATTATTCTGCAATAGAAAATAAATGGTACTATCATCATCTTGTTACCTGCTTTGCTCTCTTCAATTAACATGTTATAAAGATAAAATTTATTCACATGTTTTTGTGCTTTAGAACCTAAGGCTCTATCGAAATTTATCGAAATAGAAAATAAATGGTACTATTATCATCTTGTTACCTGCTCTGCTCTCTTCAATTAACATGTTATAAAGAATATAATCATACCACTAGACCAAAATGCCCTTGTAGTGAATCTATCATTTTTAGTGCTAGTCCATATGTTTTATGGACTAGAACCTACTTGTACCTTTGAGAG